TTCTCAGTGCTGTGCTTTAACCCGCTGCGCCACCAGGGAGGGCCCCTTTATTTAAACTTTTTTGGGGAAAAGCTTGACTGGAAGAGAGAGGTAAGATGACTGAAAATGCAAAATTAGTCATTCAGTGATTACTGTCTTGTTGCATTGACTCCTTGAATTTATTGGTGTAACTTGCATTGAAAAAGATAACAGAAATAAATCAGAAACAAACTTAGAGACCTTCACCTAATTAAAACAAAGCCAATATTTTTACACTATTTCTAAGGAAAAAATTACCCTCTGACTTAAGTAATAGCCATTTTATATGTTATTTGACAGATATATCAAGTTATTCTTCCACTTATAACTTTTCCACTGGCTTACAATTACTTTTCTGATTTAAAAATGTTTACATGTATGCATCTTTTTGAGCAAAGTAGTTATAACAGAGGGAAAATGTTCTTAGTTATTTTTCACTTGAGTCCCTTTTTCAAAAGCATGCTTTTTTTCTCACTCTTAAATATGAGGATGTCTCCTCCCGCTTTGAGAACAGAAAGTGTTTCTCCATCCAAGCCTTCCTTTGGGGTCAGTCCAGGTGGAACTGGGTCTCATGTCCATCTTTACAGATGCCGCAAGAGCTGAGGGCAAGAACCCTTCCGTCTGTGTTCCTACCCTCCATGTGGTGAAAATGATGAAAGATGTGGATATAGTTGTGGATTGATAAAGGAATTAAATAATGGCTGCACCCCTTTCTGCCCAGATAATGGGGGGGGGGAAGTCACTGAAATGGTGTGTGCTTCAGTTTCCTCAACTGTAAAGTAACAGTAGCCTCCTGCAAGGCTCTTTGGGTGGTCGGAACTGAGAGCAGATGTGGTCAAGTGCCCAGAAGAGGGGATTCCTCTAATTCAGTAAAAGTGCATGTTGGGGGGAGGACAGGTGACCTCGTTTTCTATCAGATGTTCCTTTTCTGTAAACTGCTTTCTTTCTGTTCCAGGGTTGATAACTTTGGCTTGGGTCTCTTACTTCAATCCCGGCAGATAAAGCGCATGGTCTCTTCATATGTGGGAGAAAATGCGGAATTTGAACGACAGTATTTATGTGGTGAATTAGAAGTAGAGCTGACACCACAGGTAAGAATATTTCTTTGCTTTTTGTTTGCAATCTTTTTCATTTAAAAATTGTCCTTTCTCCCACTATCCACTTTTCTGTGCTAGAGAGACAAGGCAGAGGGATGCTACATGCCAAAGCAAGGCATTTGGTTTGCAGGTGAGGCCTGTTGAATACTAGAAGATCAGTATTTTCTGTTACTTGGCATTGAAAAGAAGGTATTTTTAAAGAATAATATAATAGTTTATTTTTACATCATTTTGTGCCTTTTTTCCATCTCAGTTGTAATCCCCTAATCCCCGTGGGCTTCCCATCACCAAATCACCCATATGCCATCACCATAGTCCAGTGCACTTTCCCTCCCCACCCCCAACATTTTGGATCCCAACTCCATCCCTGTAAAATGTCTCTGGTATATAGTTGTTCATTATTATTGTTATTATTATGAGTGAAACCATCGGTATGGTCTCTTTTTCTTTCTGGATTGCTTCACTAAGCATGATCCCTTCCAGCTCCATCCATGTTGCTGCAAAAAGCATGATTTGATCTTTGAAAAGAAGATATTTTTATGAAAAGTATCTAGGACAGATTTTCAAGTTTGATTCTGCAGTGCGCATTGTGATGTAAAATATGCAAAAGGTTTGCTGAAAGGTCTGAAGTTGTCTTCAGAGTCCCCTCCCAGTTTTTGGGAAGAGCCCAGGCCCCCAGGGACCTCATGCCACTGCAAATCACTGCACTTTATCTAGCAAGTCATCTCTCACTTTCCATACCATCTCCTAACCAGCCCAGGAGTTTGTCTTAAAGGAAATTTTTTGAAACGTTTCGGTAAAATGGGTATGTACCTTTGTGTTCCATTTGATGTGGTCTCTCAGACTTGGCTTTATTTTTATCGACAGAAACCATTATAGCCGACTGTGTCTAACTGGCAATAATGTCACGTAGCAGAATTTTTAAAAATGTAGTAATGAGATCATAGCACCTGCTTGTCTTGAGAGGGCACAGCTGGGGGTTGTCCTTTCAACAGCTTTCACTGTGCAGCCATGGTGCTCGATCACTCCCAGGAGGGCACTTGCTCTCCAGCGTGGCCCTGTACCTGGTGTCCATCCAATGTCCATTTAAAGGGGTTTGAAAAAAAGAAGAAAAGGCATTTTGTCTTAGTCTGTTCATGCTGCTGACAGAATACCTAGGCTGACTGAAGCAACAGATATTTCTTTCTCACAGGTCAGGTGGCTGGGAAATGCAAGGCCAAGCTGCCACTGATTTGATGGGGGAGAGGGAGGAGGAGGAGAGAGAAAGAGAATTTGTGTATGGGTGCGGCATGGGGTCTCCAACAAAACAGAGTCCTACTGGATGAAGTCCCTCTTGTTAAGAACTTTCACTTTAACGATGCCCACAAAGGTTCTGTCTCCAAGTATCGTCACTGAAAATTAGGGCTTCAACATAAGGATTTTGGAAAAATGCAATTGATTTAAACACATGGAAAGTAGAGTGCTATAGAATATGATGTCAAAGCCAGTAGGATAATTGGGTGCTGAGAGTGTGGTTTCATAAATAAGCAGTTGCAATGTGGAGTAAGAATAGAGAGGTCCTGGGGAGAATGGGATCAGAACTGGGGTGGGAAGAGTCCTGGGCTGTGGTGATGGCACACGGGTGAACTGGTGTTGGGAATTACAACTGAGATGAAAAAACGCACAACGTGAAGAATGATGTAAAACATCAAAAATATTATAAAAATAATTAAAAGAAAAGAAACAGTAGCAGACATTAAAAGAAGAAGAAGAAAAAAAAAAAGAATAGAGAGGTCCTGTCTAGCTGGGCAGTAATTTTTTAAAACTGATCTTTTAGCACACAGAGTTATTGAAATACACCAGTATCCACCATTAGGTGCTGTTTGGAGTGATATAAATAAATACAAACAATGGAGTAGGAACCATGTCTGTAACTGTTCTAGGTCCCAGAGAGAAGGATGCTGACCGAACTTTTTATGGCGGGTTGGTTGCTTGCTTGCAGGGCACACTTGCAGAGAGGATTCGTGCAGGCGGGGCCGGCGTTCCTGCATTTTACACCAGCACGGGCTATGGCACCTTGGTGCAGGAAGGAGGCGCCCCCATCAAATACAACAAAGATGGCAGCGTGGCTATTGCCAGCAAGCCCAGAGAGGTAAAAAGCAGCCTCATGCTGTCACACTGGAACTTCTTCCCCGTGGGTTCTGGGCACACTCCCTGTCTTTCACTTGTATAAATGTGGTAGATAAAATATCTAGTTAAAATTGAGCATCTGCTAGTAATTAAAGTCACACAGAAATACCAGAATACGTAGACGAAACTGTAATCTGTATAAATGTGTGAGTGAGGATTGGTTATGTGAACTAATGTTGTAGTAGCTTTTAACACATTTGGGAGCATTTAGCATAGCTTTCTGTGCCTATGTGGGCCGTAGAGAGGATGTTTGCTGTACATGGTATCACCTCTTTATGCCCACACTCTCCTGGCTGTGATCAAAAGGCTTGAAAATCTGCCAAGGAAATCGAACGTCTACACCCTTGCAAAGCAGGGAACAGTTCTAAGTACATCATGGAATGAATAGAGAGTTCATAGATGTCCTTTATCCTTTATTTTGTCAATGGACACACTTGCTTTTTAGATTGAATAACCTGTTTTTATTTAAAGTGCTGGGTTGGATGGGGCTACCTTTCTACTGGGTAACTTCTTCCATGATCTTTACATATGGACTGGTTGAGATACTCAGAATTGAGCTAATTTTAAAACCACATGGACTTGGATTTGTAGTTTGACCCTTCTTCCCGCCCCCATCGTTCTAAAAAGTTTACACAGATTGCAGATACAGAAGCCTGTCTGTAGAGAGGTGAGAACTTAAGTCATCAAGGGACCTATTATCACCACCTGCTGGGATGTTAGCTCTGCAGATCAGAGTTTTGAGGGAAGATAAAAGGTCATTGAACAAGGCTCCCTGATGTTCAGTGTCGTCTCCAGCTGACTTCCATCTGGAGCCTTGCCTTCCTGCTCAGAGTGACCTGGATTGACTCACAGCTTGTAGTAGCATTTTTTCATATTCTGTCTTGCTTCTTTCTTTACTGCCTACTTACATTTGAAAAGTTTTTGGCAAAGTCAAATACAGGAGCCTAATTTATTAAAATGGATCATAGTTATTGTAACAATGCCTAGAAAAAGTGGGTTATTACTTCGAGAACACGCCAGAGTTGAAGCGTTAACTCTCCCTGGGAAAACAGAACTAGACTGTCCTGAACACCTGGAGTCAGGTTTTTATCTGAATCTCACTGAGAATATGACAAACAACTTCTTGAAATGATTCTTGTTGGCTGTTTTCCATGGTTAGGATGGGGAGAGGTTGAATGAGTTTCATAATTAATGATATTTATTAAAGCCCTACTCTTTGCCAGGCCCTGGTCTAAAAGGGATGCTCTCTAGATCAGGCCACTTGCTAGAAGGAGCTGAGGAGAAATGAAAAATCACACACACGTCGAGTAGGGTAAGAGCAGAGAAATGAAGGGTAGCCCAGGGGGCTGCGTTCTGGGTCAGGTCAGGAGAGACCTCTCTGGAGGCTTCATAGGGCAGAGACCTAAGTAGATTAGAAAGCCGAGTGGGTGAAGATCACAGGGCTGTGCTATGGTCAGAAGGAAAAGTAAGATAAGGTACGGGGCAGGCTGGGCTGTGTGTGGACCGCAGGGCTGTGGGGCTGGAGGAGAGCAATGGTCAGGTGCAGGGTGGGGGTCGAGGAGTCAGGTAAGTGTGGCTTCACTAATTGTGGCGAGAGAACCGAACCAACGGAGAGCTCTGACTAGAGGTGGGGGATTTTGAGGTGATCTGAGTTACATTTTAGGAAGATCCCTGCAGTTGTTGGGTACTAATTTTTTTGTTAGGGGCCAAAAAGAAGCAGTGAGAAAGATTGAGAGGTGGTTGTATGGATCCCAGTGGGAATAGAAGGTGGTTTCGCCTTATAGGTGGTTAACAGTGGAATTTGTGAGAAGTGACTGGAGTCAACAGGATTAGGCGTAAGGGCAGACAGTGTGCCCAGGTGGGGAAGGGCAGACCCTAGGGCTCGGTTGGGGGGCTGGGTGCACTTGAGTTCCACTCAGTCAGACTCCAGAGGGAGTGCTCAGGGACTCCCGCTCAGGGGAGCTGATAGCTAGGACAAGGACTTTGGAAGCACCAGGATCTACTCTTTGCACCTGTGGGACATGATGAGTGGTTAGGCCTGGAGGACTGAAACATCTCTTTGACAGTTAAAGACTGGGGGGAGAAGGAGCAACAAAGAAGAGTAGTGAAGAGTATCTTGTGAGTGAAGAAATTAGGGGAGTTTGGTGGGTTTGAAAGATGAGGGGAATTTTACAAAGCAGGGAGTGAACAGTTGGGTGATGGAGGACCAGAAGGTCACTGATGGGCTCGGAAGCAGGAGGTCATTGGCCACCTTCAAAAGGGGGTTTCTGTGAAAGTCTGAGTTGTGTGAACTCAAGAAAGGAAATGATGAGGAAGTGGAAATGCTGAAATCACAAATCTCAAGTAAGCATAACAGCTAGTTTGACAAAATTATTTCCTTCCCTGTCTTTAGAGAATTGCTAACACTGAGCAATAAGTAGTATCAGGAAATTATATAATTGGAACAGCATAATAAAAGGAACTTTTTTTTTACTTTGTTCTGGGATAGCATATATTTAGTCCAGTTAGCTAGATCTACATGTGGACTACTTAGCCATTTTCATTATCTTGTCAGCTATTTTTTTGAAATACCTCAGACTTAAAAAAACCCCTGCATATTTATGTATATAGCAATAAGTATATTGCATATAATTTGTTTACATTAAAAGACCTTTGTGTACCGATGACTTCTAGGCTCAGAAATCTTTTCTAGAAGGAAAGTGGGATAATATCTTCAAAGACCTGTTTTTAATAAAGGATTTCTGTTTTGAACGAAAACTACCGCTTTCTAGAAAGTGCATGCAGTTTGCCCACTAGGGGGTGCCATAGGAATGTGGAAGGTGTTAGCCTGTAACTGGCTCTTCCTGTGGACTCATGGGATGGGCTGCTGATGTCGAGCCCGCTTTTTTGTTTCAGTTTCCAGAGCTGAACCCCCAAGAGGAAAACAAAGGAGCTTGATCTCAGGGCGTAATTTTGCTTGGTCTTCTCCCTACACCCAAGTTTGTAGTAGAATTAAAAGGCCATAGGCAGCAGTCCTCGGCCCACCTGTGAGTATGCAGGTGCTTCTTTCTGCCCACTCTCTCCCTCTGCAGGGCAGCAGCCTCCCGCCTGCCGGTGACCTGTACCATGCCGAGACCTCTCTGCACTGACCTCCCACAGTGGAGGCCACTCTCCTAAGATCATCTGCCTGCAACCATGCAGGTCTCTCTCTGCAAACCTGTCCCTTTCGGGGTAGCTCTTCCTGCCCGCTTGTGCCTATGCAAGTGTCCCATACTCCTGCCCTTTTATCTAATAAACCTTCTCTTTAAATAAATAAAAAAAGAATTAAAAGACAATAAACATAAAGCATTCCATTAGAAAGAGGGGAGGATAAATGGAATAAAAAATGTCAGTTGTTTGGTGATGGAGGCAAACTAGACTTTGGGAGAACCTAATATGGACTTTGAAGATATTGATATGTAGGACTGTATGCCTGAAACCTGCATAATGTTACAAACCAGTGCTACTTCAATACACATTAATGAAACAAAATTATATTACAGAAGCATTCCATTAAATCAGTAATGACGGAAAAGGTATAATAAATTAAAGTACTCATAGAAACATTAGAACTCATGTAGTACCTATGAATAAACCTGACATAATACAGAAGTAATATCTATAAGGGCTTTGATATGTATATGTGTGTGTATCATGAATAAAGCTTTTATGCTAAAATTATAAAACTTGGAGGAGGTAACACTTCTGAAAATGTTGGCATACACACACACACACACGTATGTATTATATAAATACCCAATGTTCAAGGATGGGAGGGTGTGGCATATCAGTTCTCTCCAAATTAATGTACAAATTCTAGAAATTTCAATTAAGTTCTCAGCAGGCAATAGAGTGGGCTCAACAGGTGATAGATTAATTAGAAGGGAAGAATGGATTCTTATAATTTTTTTTCTATGTATAAAAGCAGTTCATAGGTTATTTTATGCTATGGGTGTAGACTTTTCTGGGGTGGAAGGAAAGGGGATATTTTCATGTTCAGTTTGTAAGCCTTTATACACTAATAATAAAGCAAATACGCACACACGCAGTCTATGCCTCAGGCACATATGACTGGCAGCTCCTCAGCTGATGCCAGCTGTCTTGACGCAGAGGCTTGGCACGTAGTATGCTCTTGGTCCTCCCTACCATCAGTGTGACTGAGTCCTGGTTGCTACCACTGCTCCTTCTTAAGGTTTCAGGTGAGAGCCTTCTCCCAGGCTCTTCCCTGCCTCCACCAGCCCACACACCAGTCAACCAAGACCCATCCCAGGCCTTGACCATGTCCTTCTTGTCTTCTGCAGGTGAGAGAGTTTAATGGTCAGTGTTTTATTTTGGAGGAGGCAATTACAGGGGATTTTGCTTTGGTGAAAGCATGGAAGGCTGACCGAGCAGGAAACGTGATATTCAGGTACAGTGGGGTTTTAAACAATATGGATGGAATGCATTTCAGCAACTTTGTTTCTTGAATTATGGTCACAAAATGACGGTCTTGGTGTGTTTGCTATTTAGAAATATGTCCCGCTGCTCTGTAGGCCTTCTGGTGTGACATTGGTAGTGGGTGGAAGGGTGGGGTCCATTCTGATTGGTTGGCTTTCTGTAACACCTGTTAAATATGTGATTCTGGATACTCGCATGCAGACTAGTTTTTTTCCCTTGTGTATTTTCGTCACCAAGACCAGTTACAATGTAGAGACATGGTAGGAAAACCTGACAAAAGGAGTTATGCTGAATTTTGATATTGTTGACCTTCGTGTCTTAGAATGGAAAGCTATTGCTATATTTAAGTCTGTTATTTTCCAGTCCTGTTGATATTTAATGACACATAAGAGGTGCTATAGAAATGCTTAGAAAGTTTCTAGATTGAGAAGCTGCTTAACCTCAGTAATGCTAACTTATCTTGTTACTGCCTATGTAGCTACACATCTTAAGCCACAGGCTTAATATTTTCAAGATCTTCTGATTTCCACTCTCCCCTCAGCAGTGCACTTCGTCAATCTGCCTGTTCTGCTCCCCACGCTGTCTCTGGTGAGTCCTCTCACCGCCCCTGCACCTCTGGCCTGTACCCCAGTTCTGTATGCACAAATAAATACATATAATATTTCCATAAGTTCTATAATTATTATATATATATAAACATTTATATCAACATATAAAAACACTTTAGGAGATTGAGAGAAAAGGAGCTATTTTCATGTTCAACAACTATTTAGAGTCTTGGATTTGTAGATTTTATTACTTTTTGAAATTTATGCCAAAATGTTTGTTCTTGCAAACTTCACTGTTTTATTGCTGAAATAATTTTTTTTTCTTAAATTGTCATTTGCTGCTCTAGTTAGCTATGTTTTATCTTTATCAAATGCAGCTTTAACGCAATCACAAATTCTCAGTCACCCCTCTCCTGTTGTTTTTGTTTATTTCTGATGAACTTACATTAATTCTATATTAGAGCTCTTGAATTTAACATTTTTTGAAATTATAACCAATTTTGGTAATCATGGAGGACATTTTATACCATGCTACCTTATTTGACATCTTGGAGTAATGCTTGCAAAACTTACTTGATTTTTAGAAAAGATGGATGAAAGTGTATAGTATCAAAATGGAAATGAATAATTTAAAATACTTCCACCAGTATATCTCGTGCTCTGTATCTGGCTCTTTCAGCTAAAGACTGAGGAGTATTCTGAGCACTGACTATGCCTGCGGTTATTGAGCATGATATGAAGTGAAAATGTTCATCTCCAATGATCAAATGACCTAGACGCTAAAATACTGACTTTTAGGACTTACTTCATGAACACGGGACAATTGGCACAGAGGTCTGTCCAGACCTTCCCATTTGACAACTCTACATTTGGAATTTTTTTGATATTGGATATCTGGTGGAATCCTGCATGAAAGTTTACCTGTCCTTATGCGTATTCTTGAATCCAAGTGAAATCAACATTGGTGTTCTAAAAGTACTAGTGAAACATAGCTATGACCTATTTTCTTTTACTAAAGAAGTTTTCCTATCAACATCCACTCAAAAAGCTCTTAAAAGTACATTTCAGTTTCATGCTTAAAAGAAGTATATCAATTTAGGAGCTTGGTAGTACAAAATATCAGAAAATTGGCACTTTCTTGAAATCAGGGTCTGATGTGGTGTCGTACTTTAAAAAATCTCATTAGAAATTGGTGCACCACAGCTGCTTTGGGGTGAGTTCTATTCCCGCCCCGGAGGTGACCCACATGGCGCGGCAGACCTCTCCTGACCTACCTGCAGCTCCCCTCAGCAGTGTTCTTCATCCATCTGCCTCTACTGCTCCTCACTGTCTCTGGTGAATCCTCTCACTGCCCCTGAACCTCTGGCCTGTATCCCAGTTCCGTATGCATAAGAAAAAAAAGAAATCTTAAAAAAGAAATTGGTACACCAGAGTGATCTTTATAGGCAACTCCCAATTGCCAGAGAACGTTTCATTTAATTTCAGCAATAAGCTCCTCTTTAATAGAGAATATGATTATTATACCTTCTCATGCAAAGCACTTGCTACTTTGCTTAATAATTTAACAAAAGCAAATTTAGTGATCTGTTTAACCATAGAAACAAAATTGGCATCCTAGTTAAAAGATTTAGGGAGATTAATTTTTTTTAAATTTTATAATGGTTTATTTTTACATATTTTTGTGCATTTTTCTGTCTCAGTTGTAGTCCCCTTGGGTTTCCCATCATAGGGAGATTAATTTTAAATAGGCTAGATTTATTAATATTCATTTTATTTTCGGCATATAGCCTGTATGTTGAACATGAAAATAGCTCCTTTTCTCTCAATCTCCTAAAGTGTTTTTATATGTTGATATAAATGTTTATATATATATAATAATTACAGAACTTATGGGAATATTATATGTATTTATTTGTGCATACAGAACTGGGGTACAGGCCAGAGGTGCAGGGGCGGTGAGAGAACTCACCAGAGACAGAGTGGGGAGCAGAACAGGCAGATTGACGAAGTACACTGCTGAGGGGAGAGTGGGTGAGTCAGGAGAGGTCTGCCACGCCATGTGGGTCACCTCTGGGGTGGGGTTTGAACTCATGCTGAAGTGGCTTTAGCTTCTTAGTGCTGTGCTTTAACCCGCTGTGCCACCAGGGAGGGACTGGAAAATATTATATACTTTTTAAAAAAGATTCACAGGTTTTAATTCCTGGAAACTCTATTTATCTATTTATCTATAATTAAAACTAAAAGAGATGCTTCTTATCTTTTGACTTCTTTCTCCACTTTCTCATTTCCCAATGTAGGAAAAGTGCAAGGAATTTTAACTTGCCGATGTGCAAAGCTGCAGGAACCACAGTGGTAGAGGTAAGAGAAAAGGTTATTTCCAATTTTCTAATAAATTAATTTTTTAAAATTTGGTTTTAGGTGTGAGTTCCATAAAAAGTTCAAGAATGCATTTGTTTTCTTGGGGACAAACAATGACAGCAGTTTTCCTTGTCTGTGGAAGGATCTATGTGAATATGCTGTAGTTGGGACCTGCTGCAGCAGGAGCCTTGAGCTAGCTAGACTCAGGAAATAGATAGCTCTCTTTGGAAATCGAGCATGAGGCCAACTAGTTTATAAAAATTCTTTGGCACTTGAAAACAGACTCTCTTGGGTTATATTCCAAGGTGAATTTCTGAATGTAGAATCCCAGGCAAATAGAAAATTGTAGCAGGAAAAACCCACTGTCATACTATGCTGGAAACTGAAAATTCTTTAAGGGAGGGGGAGAAAGGTACCGATGACTGCTCTGATGTGGTTCAATTGGAGCAGTTGAATTGGGCATTGATTCTACTTCAGATATGTCAGGGTCAATGTTCATTTCTAGGGTCAAAGTTCTGAGCTAGAAATTGGTGATTTGGCTCAAACCTGCCACTTTGTTTATATATACTTGCCCTTCAAGGAGACTTCAAAATGAAGATCACCTTAGTGTCAAAATTCTCGTGGGTATTTGTGTTAATTTTCCTCTCCGATGGCTTTTAGAGCCAGTCTTGATAGCTGAACATGAATATATGTTCTTGACTTTCTCATGCTGGTAGTATTGCAAGTGCTTTTTTTTTTTTTTTTTTTTAACATTAAGGTATTTTGTTAAAGTACTAACTTTATGCTTAATTTCTGCATAGCATATTAGGTGACTTTAAAAATCTTGTCACTGGGGGTATTTCATTTGATACTTAGGTATCAAATTCCTTGGGTAGCCAAGGAATTAGTAGAGGCAGATCTTAGCATTCAACCTGGAGCTGAGGCATTGCAGATTCAGTTTGAGGCCTCCTGTAGGCTTGAGGGCTGGAGATGCTACCACCTTGGAGGCCTGTTGAGATTCAGATGAGGTCTGGATGTGTGGGGGGCAGGGGTTGCTTGGGGGAAAATTTTTTCTCACCTGTTTCCCACTGAGCTGCAGCTGCCACGCCCAGGCCCAGGCAGGAATCCTTTTCCTTCATAAATTGCTCCATGGTCTGCAGGAGCTACCAAGGAGGCCATGACTGAGCTAGAGCACTTCCATCTCGGCATGGGACGCCAGCGCTGCCCAGTGGTTTGAAAGTAATACCAGGTGCTTGGTTCTCACTAGGGGACGGGAAAATGAGCTAGCGGCCCTGATGGGGGAACAGATGCCGTCTCTTCTGGGGTCTGATGTCCTGAGAAAGACCAGGACAGAGGAATAGCTGCAGGCCCTCCCAGAGCCAGGATAGGCCTGTGAGGCTTTTCCCGGCAGGAGAGACTGCTGTTCCTGCAGGCCCACCCCAGCTTCTCCTCCTGCCCAGTCCTGTGTATGTGGCATCTTTGATCCCTCCACATGCGTGTCCATGAAGGTATTTCATGGAGGCAGTACAGCAGTATTTTTGAAACAATCAAGTGTTAGAGTTCTATTCTCATCTTGGAAAGTGGAATGTCTTATTTTAAACTTCTGGTTTATGGTACTTTAAACCCAGGCATGATGATTTATTTTGCAATACTTTAGGAAATTTGCATTTTAAATGGATAATGTGAGTTACTTTCTGTGGGATCTTTTTTTTTTTTTTTAATGTATTGAGTCATCTTAATGACCTGCCATAGCACACACCTGTAGCACTTTTGAAGCAAGGCCTTTAAAGCTTAAAATAATCAAAAGTTTGACATTTTTGATTTTATGGACTCGATGGCAGACTCTTGTATTTATTTCTTCTTTGTGCTCCAAAAGGCATTATGCATTATCCTGGGTGAAGTACTTTTTTTCCCTTCTTTCGTAATCTGGTTCTTTTAATCCAGTTTTACTTCTTCCAAGAGTAGAAGGTGTCCCTCTAGTATCCGGGAATCAGTGTAGGTCTAAGAAAATTTAAGTTCTTTTCTGGCATAAGGGAGAAGGAGATAAATATCCTTTAGGTGAGTCTGCAAACATAATGGAGGTTATCCCGGGCAGACGGTTCTCGCCTGTCACAACCTTCTCCTGTTAGCCCAGGACACTGCCTGTACCACCCAGCGTGGCAGCTGCTAGCTCATATGACTTTCAAAATTTCATTAAAGTCAAGTAAGGTAAAAATTCCATCTCTTGTCAGTAATCACATATGGCTAGCAGCTACTATGCTGATCAGCATAGACATAGAACATTATCATCAATGTAGATGATTTATTGGGCTGCTTAATTAAAAGAACAAGAACAAAATGAATTTGTTGTCCTAGTTCAGGAATATAAACAAAACAGCTACTTAGGCAATAGGTAAGTCTGCCTCCTTCCTCCACCTCCCATCCCCCCGTTTTGACTTTGTGACTTTTGTCTTATTCTGAGTCTAGTGAGCACCTAGAACACCTACTTCTCTTCCACGCTGGTCTTATGTACTCCATTATCTGGCTGCTAGGGTTCTTTTAATTCTTCTCGTCTTTAATTCTTGTCCTGTTTTATTTTATGTGATTCTCTCATGGCTCAGATGATTATGAGCTGGTCTCTGAAGTGTAGCATTTAACAGGAATCTTCAGAGATCATCATTTACTCACATATTCTGCCTGTCTGCTAAATAGTAACAATAACTACAGCTATCATTAATCAAATAGCTGTTGTATATAACGAATATGCAGTGATTAATATACATCATTATTATTTTTTAACTGTTCAATAACCCTATGAGTAAGGAATCATTATTATCTTTATTTTCCAAGTGTGGACTTTAAAGCACAGAGAAGCTGAGGCACATACCTAGTGTCACACAGCTAGGCAGTTCTAGGATAGAACCTTAGGAAGACTCAGTTCGAAGTGTCTGCTTTATCATTTATTTTATGAAATGCTCTCAAATAATCTTAAGTGAATGGTGATTCAGTTCTTGAAAGGTATTGAACTTTTGAAGTAGTCCATTTCAGTGCTACTTGAAGTAAGCAGAGAAGGAATTTTTTTTAAACAATGTATCCCTCTAGTCCTGGCTTTCCTTGCCCATTATTCCAACTACTGTCTTCTCTCCTGCCTTGGAGGTGACTTTGAGATAAGCATCACTGGTGACCGACAGCCTGATGGGTTCATTCAGTCTTTCTCTGAGACTGTGCTCATTTATTGTGTCACCTCTTTGAATCTTGCAGCTTTTCACAAATTTCCCTGACCTTGGTGACTGAATGTCTGTGTTAGTACTGCGGTGCTGTGCTTTCTGTGGTGGTAGCTAAGTAAACAGCGACTCCACCTTACACTTCCAACAAGGTAGCTAAGTAAACAGCGACTCCACCTTACACTTTCAACAAAGACGGTTTTCTCGGTTTTCTCTTGGGTAGGAGGCAATGGAAGAATTTTTAGTGGCTAACTCTGGGTGGGAATCTGTCTCCCAATGCCCCATGCCAAGTCCCTAGTGTTGCATCTTGTTTACATCCTCCACTGGTGTTATAAGGAGGATATGACTATAAATTTCAAAAATAAATGATTCCCTTAGATACTGTACATTTTTTTTTTAGGACTTAGAATCAAGGTGGGAAAGGAACATACAAGTGATCTGTTGCTTTTTTGGTTCATCCTTTCTTCCCCAATAATTTGCAGTAAATGTTTTATGCCAAGAACTACTGTTTATCTTCAGTTAAAGAAAATATCAAATTTTCCTGTTTCTAAAAAAGGGGAATGTTGCTACTTTTGGGAAACGTTTTCCTTTTCAGATGTGTTCTTGTGAGTGTCATGATTATGTCTGTTTTCCCTTTTCTATTTTATCAAAACCAGTGTGAACAGTACATTTGTGTTTCTTAAAACCTCCAGCTCTGTGTTTTGCCACCAAATTCTGACAGTGAATGCTGGCTGTGCCTTCCCGCTTGTTAAGGAACTGGCTAGTTACTTGGGAAAGTCGTGCAAGTGGCTGCTCATATTTGCACACATGCCAGAAAGACATTTCTCTTTTTAGCCCAGACAGTGTTATTTCTGGACTGCTGTGTCTTTGAGTGGGAGAAGTCTTTCCTGATAAACTTCACAAGTCCAAGTGCAGTAGCAGCCGGGGAGTGACTCTCAGCGTTGTGCTCTGTGTGTCTAGTGGGATGCGAGGACCGTCGTGTCTTCCTGGGGGGCTCATTGGGTTCTTCGAGGGCTCCTGTAACCCCTCGCCCTCCCTGTGAAGCCCCGTGCCAGCCTCCTGGAGCACTCCCTCCATCCTGGGTGGGAGATACACCTGGAGAGTCACCTGTTTCTACATTTTTTGTAAAAGCAACTGATAATAGAAGGCCCTCCTGGGTAGGGGGTGTCAGGAGCCCTAGAATGGTTGTCTCCTGAAGACAGCATGGCTTGCCTGTGCTTTCAGAAAAAGTCCTCTGACTCAGCCCCCGAAGGCTTCCTGGGACTGAAATAGCCCACTGGTTCTCAGGCTTGTGCCCTGCCTGGTGCTGGGAGACAGCAAGTTTCTTTAAGTCCTCTTCAACTATTTTAGCTAATGCCAGCTTTTACTTAAAACAAGTATACTCATTATCATGACCTCAATCAAGTTATTTTTATTGTGCTTATAATATTTTTATATGTTTACTTCTGAAAAAATTGCTTATATTGTGTTTGATGCACACAGATACTGTGCATGTTGGTCTGGGTTAGGAAGCCTAGTAACATTAAATAAACACCTGTGTAAACACCTGTGATCCCACCGCCTCAGGTCAGAAGTTGAGGATTGCTCATCCTCATTGTCCTGCACCTGCTTCTACAGAGAAGACTATAACATTGTGTTTTTCAGTTCTTCTTCTTCTTTTTTTTTTTTAATCCAAGTCATAAGGTATGCACAGATGGAAAGTTCTTTCCAAAGTGATGTCTTAAACCTTTTCGTTGCAAGAGCTAAGCTCTGGGAATGGGGACTTCTGTGTTGTATTAACACCTGGCATCTGCCGTTGCTCCTTGGGAGATTAATCAG